GGGGGCATCCAGCAACAGGTGCGTCAGGCTCTGAAAACGCTGGTCCGTGTGTCACCGCTCAGTTCCTACGGTCTATCCGCCCGCACCCGCAGCCTGCGACCGGAACGTCTCCGCGGCTGGCTAAAATACTGTCAACAGAGACGCTTCTGTCTCCTCGTGGAACGTTTTCTGCGTCTTTTGGCTGCGCCCTGGACGTCCAACTGTGAACTGCACTCAAAGGTGTGTGTCTTTACAAGTTCTTTTATGTTTACTCGCCTGCCTTCTCAATCAATACCTTCACTCACCATCCCACTGATTGGCTGACTTAGTTTGTTCTTTTGAGCTTCAGCCCCACTTTGACTGTTATCTCCTTAACTACTGTACAGACATCCACACCTGGCTTAAACTGGAATGCTTTAGTTCGCCGTTTCGTTGTGCACACTAATCTCTTCGATTTTTTAACGAAAAAGACAAGAAAACTTAAATGAGCCATTTCTGGCTCATTAACCGTCACCAGCCAGTCAAACCCAGCCCCAAGTGGTGCCCAACCCAAGGTTCGAACCCACGACCCTGTTAGTTAGAAGTCCAGCGCCATCACCACCGCGCCACGGGCTCATTGCCTTGTCGTTTACGATATGAAATATGCACTTTGGCATCGTATATTGCCCATCGTGTGCTTGCAGTTACCATCAGAGCGACGAATTGACAGAGCTTTACTGTCTTCCAAAACTATAGCCTTTCTGCCTACAAGTAGCCACCTACATTTTGCATCCTTTGTTTCTAGATCTGCCTGCAAGTATTTGACTTGGCCATTGGGCTGTGGAAAACGCCCATCCTCCTGCAACTGCAGTGTCTGTCCGCTTCCACCGACGGCGACGATTTTGAGGGTAAAAAACCGCCTGATCTCCAGGCTCTGCCTCTCGCCGTCTCAGGTCTGCGCTGTCTCGCGCTCGTCGGTAGCAATTCTGTGATGGTGCATCTGCGCCTCTTTGAAGTACTCTGCCCCTGGGCGGAAGGCATAATTACCATTTTGTTAAACAAGGATCGATCAAATCTGAATGACCGTCTACAGGTGGGTTACTTCTCCCTCCCGCCTTCCCTCTCCTACTTGTTAGATGACCCTGAACGTGTCTTAACAGTGATTATAAAGACAGTATGCTGAACAATGTGCGTAGCTCCTGCCAAACAGTCTCCCGAACAGATAAAACATCTAAAATGAGAGCCAGATGAATGCATGGTATCCTTTGACGTCGTTTCACTCCTCATTTCCGTCCTTCAGCATCTAGCGGTGGATGTTGTGAGACAACTTCTAACTGGCGAGAGAGACACGCCCTTAACGTCCGAATAATTGCTCTAACCTCTACGATACTGTCTTCAACTCGGTTGCACATTTGGTGTACAGATGTATGAACGGCAGGAGTTTCCTTGGTAGCGCACATATATTCTTATTTATATTTAAATGCCTACACAATTAATTTCAGTTAGGGTTAGGTTTATGGTTAGGGTAAGGGTTATGGTTAGGCTTAGGTTTATGGTTAGGGTAAGGGCTGGGGTTAGGGTTCGGGTTAGGGTAAGGGTTAGAGTTGGGCTAAGGTTTAGGGTTAGGGTAAGGGTTTTGGTTAGGGTTATGGTAAGGTTTAGGGTAAGGGTTAGGGTTAGGTTAGGATAGTGATATCGCATGTAAAATGCCCCAAGTTTCTGTCTTACGAGGAGCGTTGGTGTAGGCGTTTCAATATAAATAAGAACATACGTGCGCTACCAAGGAAACTCCTGCCGAATGAACAAATTAAAGGTCGTCCAATGGGTTCAACCTCTCCCCCCCTGTTAGGCCTAATTGCTGAGGCGGTCCTTGGAAGGGCAGAACATTTGGTTTTCACCAAAGCAAAGTTTTTGGTTCGTTATGTTGATAAAACTTTCGTTATTTAAGACTCTATTCGTCAAAAATACTGCGGCGATTCGTTATCGGCCCTGTACAATTGCATTAATGAGAATAAAAATTTGGACAGGGTTTACAAATGTTTGCTAATTAAAACTCATCGTTTTCACAATGCCCGTATGACGATGTTGGCAGGTAGAAGTTATTGAAGTACGAGAGAGGGGAAAATAAAGCAGACTGTAAGTAGTGGTCATGGGTCGAATATGCGGAGTGAAAATCATCCGTACGTGCACGGAATGAACAGATGTCATCAGGGCTAGGGGCGAAATGCGATTGCTACCTGGTGTCGTCATCGGCCACGGAAGTGAGAGAGGGCATCTCACAGCACAGCGCTGGATTCGTTCGCCATATTGTCACTGCCTCGACCGTTGCTAGTACCCGTGGGGTAGACCCGTAGAGAAGTTGACTGGTGTCCGGCAGACAACATGAACGGTTTCTTAAGGATCGACTCATTGATTCGTAACGATTAGGTGTGTGAGAATAAAATCGAAAATCAATCTAGTTTCAACTTTTACTCAACCAGGTCAGTATGTGTTCACGCACCCTCTTTTCTAGGTGCCTCGTTCGACCAAAGTATTATATTCTACAGAAGTAGGTGAAAAATGAAATACTTATCGATGCGGCCTTCAATGGGAGTATAGCATTACCTCTTAAGCTTAGAAGAGAGGTGATCGTGAATAATATGCATAGGCTCAGCGCGGGAACGTGCTTCTGATCGCTGTCTTTGGGTGTCATAATATCAGTTCGCCCTTATGGACCTTGAGAAAGACAATCTTTTGAACACGTCTTTCCTTTCTGCAGTTAAGGTAGTAGGCTTTTAGTGCATTCGCGAATATTCCTGAAGATGGAATTTTTGGGTATCCGTTTTCAAAAAGCGTTTTCTGGTGCTGCTTAAATTCTGCTTCAGCAGTTTCAGGCGAGAAGATACATGGCCCTTCAGAAGAAGGAGATGCGACCACTGGAACTCGCATATCCACCTCTATTGGCGATACATGACACTCTAGCTGCCAATCCCTAGACTTAATTTCGTTTTATATTTAGGGGAAGAAACCAGTGAAAGTTGGTGTATTGCCCCGTGCAGGGTTTCTTTTGAAATTCCCTACAATGGATAGATCCATCCTTTTACCTTCGTAGCAGAACATGAAGAAACGCAATTTCGTTATCTAATTCAGGCCCTGTAAAAATCTTGAGCAATGGATGCGCAGTGTTAACTTTCCGGACCAGGGCGTCAGTGTTATGGTCTGTCAGACAGAAGGTGTCATTTACGTATCGACCGTAACGTTCGAGGTCATTGATGGTGCGCATCCACCGCTCACCTTTTCTGCAGAGTCTGAGGTTGATAAGGAAATTGTGTTTATTAAGTTGGTTTGGCAGATTTGCTAAATTTGAGTTGACCCAAGTATGAAAAACTCCAGGCGTTTGGCGGGATTTGAA